AACGAGGAGTTAAGCTTATGCAGGATTTTATCAAATTTTATCGAAAACTAAGGAGAAAAAATAACTTTTTTATATCGTATCATATTAAAGAATTCAGTATCCAAATGTCCATAAATTTACTCTTATTAAGGATTTGTAAAATTACAATAGATTTAAATATTACAATAGTACACATACACATAGTGTGCTAAAGCGATTTTTTTCTTTGCGCGCTTTAGTTTCAACTTTAAACCATAATTAAGAGATTTATATGGGAATTAGCTTTATGGTGTATCAAACCTTTCTTATGCAGAATTTTATGGCAAATTTTTTAAGTCCTATGATTTTTCACGTCTGAGTAACGGTTTAGAAAATAAATACGAAAAACTCCAAACGAGACCGCTTCAGGGGTAGTTTTTCATACAAAAGGGGATGCTCCATCCACGATTAGAGTAGGAACTTTTTAGTCTCTTATTTCTAACCATTTTGTTGAGTTCATTCACAAAAAACCAAAACTATATAAATTTTCTCTTCTAAAAAGTCTAATTTGCCTGGAATATATGACGGATGTGTCGTGACTGCTAATATAAAGTTATATAAAAATGAAATATCTATTCATATAGACCTTTTTTATCTTTTTGAGATTCTCGCTCTTCAACATTTAATTTCTTTTATAATCGATGCGGCATTTATTTCACCTAAGTGACTATACGCAACATAGAATGAATAATATATTTAAGTATTACAGGAAGTTTATAGATATCAACATTTCCTTATTATATATTATATATTATAGATATCAAGATTTCCTGAAGAGACATTCTCTTATTTTTCGGAAATCAAATATTGCATTTTATTAATATTGATAAAAAAGTGATATGCTTAAATAATTACAAAAGTAAAACTGCATAATTTATATATTTACTTGTTTTTATATAAAATCAGTTAAAAAACAAATTTTACAAATGCAAAAATAAAATTTTTACTATTTTTTTTTACAAATTGTGTAGTTTAAAATAATTTAAATAATAGTGGATGTATTATTAATAATATTAGTTTATCTTTTACATGTTTGCTTACTAATATCTTATTTTTCTTTTCATTCTTTCTTTATTTTTCTCATAATGCGGTTTTAAACTTAAATTGAAACAGCGTAAACCGGCATACATATCAACAGGTCATAAACTAATCTAATCTTTATATATTGTTGCGTATTTGTATATGAAACAACTGTATCGGGACTGAAAACTTCTGTATTTAACCTTAGGTACACATACAGGGGTACGATATATGCGATTCTTCACTTTTGTCGAATTTTTAAAATACAATTTTTTAAAACAATTATAATTACTAAAATATTTTTTATTTGTCTTTGTCAGATTCTGGCGTATCAATTCACACGCGTTTTGAGCTAAAAAATATGTTTTCAGTTCGGAGATATAACGTGTCAAAGGGTTTCACAGACCCCGCAGTGTGTGGGAAGGTAACCAAAAGTTATCAATGTATACCTAGGGTTAAAAAATACATAAAGTATGCGTATAAATCAACAAAAAACGTATTCCGAAGTGAAAGGATTCTAGAAATTCCTATTAACTTGTAGACATTAACTTGCAGACATTTTACGCAAATAACCCCTGTGAAAGAAAAAAATTAGGAATATGTGGCTTTACAGTCTACTAGTCAGCTTTGGGGCTCGCTGTTTATCTTATAAAAAATTTAATACAAAATTCGAAACACTATTACAAAAACTGCTATATTGTTTGAGCATATCCTAGTTTGTATTTATGTTACGTAAGTTTTATTTTTAGCTTTTGTTTAAAAATATATAGTCCACAAATAAAGTTGTATGCCAATTTCGGCAACTTTCCTCTAAAAAAAAATTATAAAACTGTACTGCAATACAAGTACAATAATACAAGTTAAATAATTAGAACAAAATCAGGGTTGGGAATCTTAATGGGAATCAAGGTTGTTATCTTAAAAAAGTAAAAACCGTTAGTTTTTGTAAAAAATAACTTGTTACCGTTATTCGTTACTAATTTTAAAAAGTAATGCATTACCATTACGGTTACTTAAAAAGTAACAATTCGTTACTTTTTCATCATTTTTTGTAATACTAAAATAAGTTTAATAGATAAGTTTAATAGATAAGTTTAATAGATAAGTTTAATTAGATTTCAAAATATTCAATAATCATTATTAAATGTAATAACAAATATTAGAACTTGAAACTCTCTAAACTAGTTCGTATATAGAGCAAGTTTTTCTTTATACTGCGTATTTTAATAGAAAGTTAGATTAAATTTATCATTTGTAAACATTTATGTCATTATTAGGAGTGCATTTCAATGTTCACTGTTAATACTGAAAATCTTTATAGTATATATAAGTATAATGTGAATTATAGATTTTCAATATTGATAGTGACTATGGGAATGTATCCTAAGAGAGTACAAAATATTTTTTAAAAATTAAATTAAAAATATAGTATAAAATAAGAAAATAAAGCCATAAAAAATAATCATAAAAGTAACAGTAAATTATCGTTATTGTTATTGTAAAAATATAATGACTATTACTTATTATGTAATGACTATTTATACTGTTACCGTTACAGATAGAAAAAAATATCGAAAATGGTAAGTGTTACATGTAACGCGTTGTACTTTCCAACCCTGAACAAAATCATTACTAACTGCTATTAAAAGTGATCTCTTTAATATTGATCACTTTCTCACAGGTTTAAATTAATAAAAGTGCTACTATTGTATTCAACGATACAAAAAACATAAGATTACGTATGTAAACTTTTACGTTACGCTTTTTAGATCAAAATCGGCCCATTTTACTCATTGTTACTCATTTAAAACAAAATAAATAAAAGTAATAAATTATTTTTTTAATATATTAATATTTATAAGATATCCAATATATTCCTTACTTTCTATTAAAAAAAAGTATCTAAAATGTTAATTGCAAAATTCTTCTATTTTCATTTACAATTAGAGCTGGTGAAGCAGAAAATTAAATTTATCACGAAACGTAAAGGATTGAAGAAAACTTGGGACGAAAATTAACAGTAGGTAATATATAATACGACACGCTTATTTGAGAGAGACAGGTAAAAGGAACAAAAATCATGCAAGAGTAAATCTCTTGCAAGATTGACTTTGTCGAGAACATTAACGGAAGCTGGAAAATAAAGAAAATGCCAGGAGTTGCTTACTTGGCCAAGGATGGCGTAAAAGACGTCTACATGAGAGGAGAGATCGATCCCGGGCGGTCCGTGATTCGTGAGCTCCTCGTCGGTCTCCCGCTGATCGTCGAAGGCATCCAGCTGTACTCTCACATCCGGCGCATGACTTTTCCTGCAAGAACAATCGCCGTCATCCCGATCCGTGGACACTTGAAACTTTTAAACTGATGCCGTTCTCCTGTTCTTATTTTTGGCACGCTCAATTCGCGCTTTTTAGAGAGTCGATTCTCATTGTCAGTCCATTGCAAATTCTTTCTTCGATATTTTCCATATAACTTTGCTTCAAATCAATATTTAAAATAAATAACGCGATTGATTTGAAAAAATTAAAAGTTTTTATTCGGCCATTTACCGCTCCGAAAATTAAGTTAACAAGATATGTTATAATAAATACCGTGTAGACGTAAATGCTGTTCGCGAAGAAATGGCAATGCAAATTAGGAATCTATAAAGGACGCGTATTTCACGAATCGCGAGGCATTCAAATAGTTCATGTTCCGCGGACGAGTTTACGTCTTCAAAGCGCACAGAAATAGAGTTGCCGCGGATTTCGGTGTCAATTCTCAAATCCAATAAATAGATCGGGGAGGATTTGCGCGAAATTTTCCAGGCTGTTCAAATCATAACTGACGTATTAATCACTCGCGACACCATTTTCATTCAAGTCACGCGTTGGTACCATTTATCGTGAAGTTAAAATAAAATAACAAAGGTTTACTAAGAAAAGGACGTCGAAGTCTTAATCTCAGAATAGAAAAAAAAACAAAACATTTATCGAGGTTCCAGTGATCACGGTAGATTAAATAAATACGCGACGTAGAGCAATTTAAGTTCTTAAGAGGCCGAAAAACGGAGAGACACGCGCGATTGAGATTCAAACTGTGAGATAAGTCGAGCCGTCCGGAACGTGTCTGAGAAGAGCTTCCAGTTGCGTCCTACCGAGAGAGAGCGTTACCAAAATACTCGCCACGGCGGTCCAATCCTGCCATCGATCTTCGCCACGAGCAAAACAGAAGTGGATAAAGAAGAACACGAATGCGAGCGCGGCAATGACTCACGGAAAGCGATGCCGAGACACACGCCGCGTGGAGAGACGTGGAGAACAAAAAGAGGATAGAATTCTCTAAAACGCTTTCCTAGCTCTCTCTCGCTCTTTTCCCTAAAATACCTCGAAATCTTCGCGAGTCGCGCGTAGCAAAGCTAACTAAAGAACACTCCGCAACCTGTCTCGCGCGCGGAACGAAACCTCGCGAGGTAGTAGATTACGCGAACGTTTTGCATTTGCGAAATATCCAATGCGCGTGTAATTAGAAACGGGCACCCCGATCTGGAAGCATGGAAAAACTTCAGCAGTTTCTCCGGTGCTTCCAGATTGCGGTGTCCGTTTCTTTACAGCGCGGGGAAAAAAGATGATGAAATTCGACAGAATAGCGATGAGATTCGTCCACGAGTAATCGGCATCGAAAATACCGTCATTTGAAAACGATTGATATTTTGTACAATTCCATACAAAAACTTGCAACAACATCGCTGGTACATTACAATGTTGCTACAATATTGCTGCAATGATCTGTGCCGTATGGGATACCGCGTGGTTACTCTATAGTTAGCTAATTCCGCGCGAGACGTCGCGGATCGCTATGTAGGTCAACGAAGTTGTCGAGAGAGTCTATCGGGAAGAAATCGGCGTTTCCTTCCTTTCCTCGTCCCATCCTGGTTCCTTACCGCTGATCGACGCTGATCACGCAGATACCGAGGATGAAAGACTCAGAGAGGAGAAGATTCGACCGAAAAATTACATTTGTCCGATCACAGGATTTTGAGAATCGAAAGCAGTGCGGAGAACGCCGGCCGGCCGGCGCGAGATACAGTCACGACGTCGGACGCATTTCTGGCTCCAGCACGGCGCGAGATACGGTCGCAGGTGCATCGCGGTGCCGGTGAGGAGTTTAATTCGGGCTTTCCTCACCCTTCCCTTTCTCCGAGCCGCGATGCCACGGAGCTTTTTTTTATCCCTTCTCCCTACCTATCTTCTTTCCGTTGTCCTCTTTCCCTTTCTCTGTCTTTTTTCTTTCAATTAGAAATTTTTCAAGATCTTTAAATTTTAAGCACTCATTAGAATTAATATTTATTTGTCAATCAGTTCTCTCTACTTTCTTCTTCTCCTCATTCTCCTCCTCTCTCTCTCTCTCTCTCTCTCTCTCTCTCTCTCTCTCTTTCTTTCTTTCTTCTTGTCTTCGTCTGCCGAGAATGTTCGCCGAGAATGCGCCGAGGAAGACGAATCGCTTGGATTCTACACTCGATTCTATTTCTCGCTCGTCACCGATGGAGGTGTCGTCCCCGGAATTGTGCTCTTCTCGATCGTTACACGCATTGGATTAATTACTGTGAGAAAGCGAACTCTTACTCTGCGAAAATATATTCCATATATTTTTGGAAGAGAACCATCGCGACACAATCTTTTCGGGAAGCAAACGCTTATCGATAATCGTATGGAGATCATTTTCGATGGTGCACTCGAATCTCTTTGTAGATTTGATTCTTTTCCTTTGTATAAATTATGATTTAAAAAAATGTATCAAAACAATACACCTCTTATGAAAAACCTCTTATGAATGGATATGTATTCCTAGTCTAATTACGCGCGTTAATCGTGTTAACAACTGTTTGTCCAACAGCGTCAACTGCGATAAGCGGTGTATAACAATCGCGATATGTTTAACATTATCAGCGAGCTCCTCGAGATGCTAATCTCGATAAATGTCGTTTAATACGTTTTATGCTGAACTAGTTTTACATGATTTGTCGTCACGCCGCCCAATGCATACGTGACGTAGTTATTATATTTATGAAGCAAAATGTATTCTATAAATATTTAAAAAAACTATAAAAATTATGTTCAATTATGATTATAGGCTCGTAATTGTAATAACAAAATACAATAAAAAATAATAGGCCAGAACCGAGCATAAAAGGTCAATAAATGATCAATAAATCAAATTAAATCATGCAAAAGTCATGTTAAAAGTATGTATTCAATAATAGTCGAACAAGTTTCGATTTTATACTTAGTCTTCCTCAACGACATTAAACAAATTAATCAATTAATCTAATCCATAAATAACACTAATAAAAAACGTACATTATTAATAAAATCAAACAACATGTTTAAATAATTAAAACGGTCATGAACGTTTCTGCGGAAGTCATATGTCATATTTATATTGTTCTTGCATCCATATGCTTACAAGTCATTAAAAATCTCCTACATCTGATCGTCTTTTATCAATTGCGACAGTCTCCCATGACAAAGAATATATGGCCTCAGACATGGTTTAATTAATTTCCAATAGGCTGATATTAAAAACTATATCTATAGTATCATTTATAGTTATAGCTGTCCATTGAACCATATCTATCATTAGTCTGAAGCATAGACTTATAAGTCTATGGTCTGAAGTATCGGAACTTTAAGATCCATCTACAATGAGAGCAGTAAGTCGTAAGCCGTAAGAAATTTACCAATCACAGTCGATTATTCTTCTCATATTTGACTGTGATTGGTCAATTTCTTACGGCTTACGACTTACTGCTCCCATTGTAGATGGACCTTTACTGTAATAACGTTCATGCTATACTGCATACTACATGTTGTTACAGTAAAATTCCGACACTTCAGACTAATGATAGATATGGTTAAATGGACAGCTATAACTATAAATGATAGTATAGATATAGTCTTTAATATCAGTTTATTGGAAATTAAACCATGTCTGAGGCCATATATTCTTTGTCATAAGAAACTGTCACAATTGATAAAAGACGACCAGATGTAGGAGATTTTTAATGACTTGTAAGCGTATGGATGCAAGAACAATATAGATATGACTTCCGCAGAAACGTTCGTGACCGTTTTATTTATTTAAACATATTGTTTGATTTTATTAATAATGTATGTTTTTTATTAGTGTTATTTATGGATTAGATTAATTGATTTGTTTAATGTCGCTGAGGAAGACTAAGTATAAAGTCGAAACTTGTTCGAATATTATTGAATATATGCTTTTCATGACTTTTGCATAATTTAATTTGATTTATTGACCATCCTTTTGTTCGGTTCTGGTCTATTATTTTTTATTGATTTTTGTTATAAAAATTATTATTATAAATTATTAGAAAAAGACCTAATGTACAAAATGCAATGCAAAACAATGTGTTTATGTACAAAAAATACTTTCATTAAATATTTATTTAATAAAATTTACCATTTATATAAACATTTATTAATAATTATTTAATAAACCTCTAATTAATAAATAAACCTCTCATAATTAAAGTGTGATATAATATGTAACAATATTTTATGTCAAAGCAGGATAAAGATATGATTTGTTGGACAATCCTAATAAATATATTGCAGTCTTTACATCCAAATTTTCCTAATTATTGTGACTAGCTTATCCATATTTCTATCAATAATTATGAAATAAAAAAATCAAAGATTGTAGTGATAATATTGATATTTTAAATCGAAAAAAATGATCGCGGAGCTGCATCAATCACTGATACGAATATTACATACATTATAATTATGTATTCACGCAACACCAGAAAATATTATATAATTATATATATTTTCGTTTATAATCAGAATATCAAACGGTCTAAATGGAAAATACAGCGTTGGTGATGCCCGTGAATATACTAAAGAGGAAACAAAAATTAATCTAAAAAATGCAATAGAAACTGATGTTTTCCGTACAAACAGGTATAGCGTAGCTATAAAATTTTTTCCATTCATACAAAATGACAAAATTGTTTAAGACAATTAAAACGTTCTGTTGGCGTCAAACATTTAGATACATAAACCGACGAATTTAAGTCATTTGGGGAAAGAAGGAAAAGAAGGAGCGAGATAAGGTAGAAAATTCGAATTATTTCAAAGGAACACGACAGGTCAAATATCAATACAATCGCTTCTGTATTAGAACATTATTTGGATTAGTGCATGCAAGTGAATGGGGTGTTCAGGGTCGTCAGTATACCGTCACGAGGCCGGGAGCGAGTCTTCTCGCCGTTAGTTGAACCAATCCTTCGTATAATTATCTTCGCGTGACATTAGACGGCGTGCGAAGAGGAAGAGGTGTGGGTACAATAAAGCGTTTCCTTTCGTAACTCATTATTGTTTATTATTTCACAAAATGTTAAGGTGTTAATAAGTTAATGCCGCGGATCCGGGTCGTCGCGCGTAGTGTACTCACCGCAGTTCGTTCAGTATTGGCAGGAGCTTCAGGCCTGTAATGGAAATCACAGTCGTATGTCAATGCTATACTTCTAACCGGCATGTCCGATAATGAGAGTCAGTAACCTGCTTACTTTATCTCGCAAATCTTGCATTTCGCGGACTTGAACGAACATGAGCAAAGAGAATATAAAATATAGAGAACAGAAATATATAGTCGACGAATTCATCAAATTAAATTATCAGCATGAAATGATAACTTAAGTTATTAATAGTAAATAATTGACGACAGATGTTCGAACAATGTTTCATGTTAAATCGTCTCGCTCATCTTTGGTTTGTGTAAAGAATATTTTCGAGGGAAGGCGAGCGGCTGTCAAGTGATCGCCGGTCTCGAGACGACGAGGAAGCTGCGCCTTAATGGCAGCTCCGCCAAGAAGACTCGAGTGCCGCTCTCTTTCACTTACCGATGAACTCGTTGCGAATACGTATGCGGTCCTTGAGCACCGGCGTCGAGATGACCAAACAATTTATGAACGCCAGCAGTGCCGTCTGGTAATCCTCGGCCGTCGCTTTCTGCAGCTCGTCGACCACGACTCGCAATCGATAACGCTCGCCCTTCCGCTCCTGCATTTGAACATAGGTCGCCGTTTAAGATCGGAGGCTATTACATCGTCGCTTGTCTTCAATTCCGAGAAAACGTTTTCGTATCTCGGAAATATCACGGCACGAGCGTCGTTTTGAAAATTTTTTTCCGTTAATTATTAAAGAGAAAACTTAATAAAGAGAAATCTTTTTGTTCCATGTTTATTAAAACGTATCTTTTTAATTCCGACTCTTATGCAAGTCTAAATTTTCCGCTCCACGTGATTTGTGCGGTTCCCATAAAGCCCATGTCACACAGACCCTTAGAAAAATTTAATTCTTATCACGTCATACTAGCAGTAATGTCCAGAAAAAGGCTTAAGCCCAAACTGCAAATTGGACATTGCGAATTGGACATTGAAGATTAGATTTTGACAAATTAGATTTTGATTTTAATCCGGTTCATTCTATTACTTCTAATTGATTTATAAATTCTTATCTTTAAGTTTAAAAGTACTATAACAAAACTCTTTTAATACAAAATAAGTAATTAATCAAAATTTAATACGGTTATAAATTTTTCTAAGGGTATATATTGATGATTGAGAATTACGCAAATTATGTGCTCGTTTCCACGAATGCAGATTAAGTTTTGATCCTGGTTCAACTTACTCTTCAGCTGTATCTAGTTCTAAGAATTAGAAAAAGATGAAGAACAAGTTGAACCGAGATTAAGGAGATTTGATGAAGCGTTTGATGAAACATAAGACAAGTCCATAATACATACATGATACGAAAGTTAATTATATTTATAATATTCAGAAAAAATTTCATTGACTTTTACCGTACCGTTTTGAAGATATTTAATTCTAAATGTATTATAGTATTTTACATGATAAATATACGCATAACCTTATTTTGTAGATATTTTCCCTTAATTTGAAATATTTGCATGTAAGACAGAAATTTAAAAATTGTTATACTTATAAAGTAAACATTTAAGTAAACATTTTGTTTTGGTAAAGTTTCATTTGAATTGACTGATAGTTTGAGAGAAATTTGTATTTTTTGATGACAAAAAATAAAAATATTTGTCATATAGATAAGATATTTATGTGGCAACATCAAATGATATATATTTGATGCAATAATAAAAATACGACAAATTTATGATAAAAAATCTTAATTTATACATTTTTAATTTAAATTATATTTTATTTATCATTTTTTTAAGATATAATAGTAAATAAACATCATACTCATATTTCATTTTCTGCTATTGGTACTTGCAAATGAGTGCCTTATAACTTTTATTTTGTCATTTTTAAAATATTTACTGACATATAAAATTAAAAATGATTTTGTATAATATGACATTAGCGAAATAAATATTGTTGATAATGTTTTAATATTATTATTTTAATCGTTTTACACAATTTTAAGAATAAACTATTTATTGATGGAACCTCCTTAAATTAAGTTAATCTACATTGGTGAAAATAGAAATATTAGAGATTAAAATTCAAAAAGAATAAAAATCAGAAACAAACGGATTAAAAAATTATCTTACAATTAGTCAAATTCTAATCTTCAATTTGCAGTCATCAATTTCCAACGCTTAGTCTGACAATGAGACGCGATTTAAGCCCTTTCCTGGACATCGCCGCGTGGTACGACGAAAGAATTTACCTCTCGCAAGGGGAGGGCAGAGAGAAAGAGAGAGAAAGAGAGAGGAAAGCGCGAGAAAGATGGTGATCTGTCCCCTGCATGCAAATCGCATCGCGATAAAAATATATTTCGCAACGCGGTGGGTTCGCGATGGTTTATACAATGGACATATTACGGCATACTCGCACTCTTACTCGTGCCTTGCGGCTTGCGGCATGTGCATCGGATTTAGGAGGAGTAGGTTATATATATGTATATTATTGTGGTGCGCGCGCTTCGTTCTTTTACATTCATCGAAAGGAGACCTTGAACCGTGACTTTTACCTAAGCCGGGTATATACGATTACTTTACAACGGGCGGCAGTTTATGGTTTAGGTACGGCCATCTCTTCTACAATATCTCAACTTGCCCTCGCGCAATTTGTTGCGGCCACTTTAACGCTCGATTATTGGCAATCGGCGAACGGGCGCAAAAATTGTATTTTCGCACGTGATATATGTATAATGCACGCTTTTTTTCAGAAAAAATGATGTCACCTGGTATGTGTGAAGAGTATCGATGGCTCTCTGCCTGCCGTCTTGGCTATAGACGCACAACGCCGACAACAGCTCCACGACTTGTTTCTTCACGGATGGACATGCCGTCTCCAACGCTGCAATACATCGGAATATAGAGGCGTTAATACGCGGCACGATCTCGCACGATTACGGAATCGGGTATAAGTACGTCGAGCAATTTACCTGAGGCGAGCTTGACGCAATAATCGGGATTATCCACAATGTAGTCGAGACCAACGTGGGAATCCATGTTGGCTGCATCTGCGGATGCTGCGCTTTCAGTCTGTAACAGGTACAAAAAAGGAATTTTGTATGCCGGCTTTCCATCCCTCCTTCCTATCTTTGCGCATTAAATAATAATAATTATTATTATTATTATCATATAATAATAATAGTTTTATTCCATGTACAGGTCAACTGTAATTTAAAGACGCGATATAATATACAAATAGTGAAGGCACAAATGCCAAATGCACATAATATAGGTGCGGCTGCAGCTAGAAGGCTGATTTAATGTCTACTGAATAAATAGTTACATAAGATATATGTAAATGTAATACACTTTATCGAAATAATTACAAAAAATAACTACAAAATTTGAAAAAATAAAAATTATTAAACGAAAATAAGAATTTGCAGATAAGTAAGTAAATAAAGCGAGACATGAGATGAATAAATTTTGCAAAGTATTGTAAGTAACACAAATAAGTAATGTTTTGCATTACAAAAGGTCTGAAAAAATCGATCTGCGAAAAGAAAATTGTTAATATATGTTACAAAAATAATTTTAAAGGATTTATCTTTTATCTTTGAAAGTCTAATAAAATTTATTTTTGGAAAATTTTTTTTAATCTATGCAACGAATTTTCATAGATTATTGTTGATTTATTGTACATATTGAACTTCGGTACAAAATTTGATATAGGTATGTTTATTAGTTTCAAAATTATTAACTGTTGGGAATTCAATTTCCCGCTCCTGCCGATCTATCGATAATCGATCTATATCTGTATAATCGAGAGTTTGTTACGTCTTTCTTTGTCTCAATAATAATTCTTTGTTCGTTCGTTAGATACGCACGTTTTCTGTGGACCGGTTTTCTTTTTCAAGTTGATAAGATATTCGCACATTAGATTGTCTATACGGTCCAGACGGAATATTACACTCTACAAGAGATTTCTTTTATTGTATCTACAATCTGAATAAATAGCGTTCTTGTACCAATAGCCTGTCTCATTCCGCTGCCGGCCCAATATTAACATTAACGTTCAAACGAGGTAATATATAAAAGAAAACATACGGTGCACGATATACATTTATTACTATTTTGGCTTTACGATTACTATTTTGGCTTTGATTGATCAATGATCGGAAACAGAAATTCTAAGAAACTATCATTTATGACTAATTGAAAAACGACCTTGGAAAAGAAGAAAAAGTCAAAAATAATAAAATTATATTATTTTAGAATTAAACGTTTTTTTTTACTTAAGAATAGACCTTCAAGGAGATCCTATACTGAACTCCATGGCGCCATTGTTTTATGACGATTTGTGCATATGTATACGTGCGATATTGATGTAATAGTGTGTAGATGTTACGTCTAATGTGTTGATGTTTATTACTATCAATATTGTACGCATACATACAATGATATCTTCAGATTCATCTTTCTTTTATACTAAATTTACACTAAAGTATCTAGGCTATTAGTAAAAGCACAGTACTATTCTTTCATGTAATCTCGAACGAGCCAAGCTTATTTCATACGTACAAAATCTAAACTTTTACATGCAGCACATGTTGTCACGAGTTGATTGCAAAAACTGATAATTTTCCAATTTTTTTCGTATGAAATTGTTGCCATCGTTCCGTGTTATTAATTATATATATTAATTATATATACTTTAATTCTGGAAAAGGATTTATAACTCTGTAAAATCAATAAAAAGATTGATGAAGCTGAAAACAATTGCGTTTAATCGGTAAAATCTATAATCAATCGCTTTAACAGAGCAAAAAGAAATTTAAAATAATTTTTGGAATTTCAAGAAATCTAAAATTTATATCCTCCTTTAATTATTCATAAATGTTTCTTGAAATTTCTATTTCAGATTATTCAGAATCGAGATTTTATGCATATCACTTTTTTTTTATAGTGTCTCGTTTGAACGCTCTAATAACTTTGAAATTAATGTATTCACCTAGATAAAATTTTTATCTATAGGTTGAAGATAGTTCCAGATTTATATAATAAACCAACAAAAGTCTATGAAAATTTATTGCAAGGTTTTTCAACAAAAAAAATTTCGAAAAATAACTTTCTACTAAATGGACTTCCAAAGATCACTTAAAACATAATCAGTGCGCAATTATACTAAAATCAAGACAAAATATTGACCATTTGAACGTCTAACGGCGCACGCCTATCTGATTTATAGAACATTTGATAGCTCATTCACAATAAACGCTAATTACCGGTGTGTCGAGCGCCTGTAAAAGGAAACGGCGCGTTAATGCGCATAATTCTTCTTAATACACCGTCAAAACGAGACGCTACCGTGCTGGAAATGGACAACGCGCTAAACCGTAATGCCAGTTAAAGTTTCGCAATGAGAATTAACCTTTTCTTGCCATAATTAATACCCAATGATGTTTCATATAAATGCTATCCAAGCGTGTTAAACGATAATTGCTTCTAGAATTTATAATTCAGCTTTATGGTGTTGCAAGAGTAGAACCTGAGTGTAGAATTTTTATTTATATATTTATATATTTATTTATATATATTGAATTGTGTATAAAAATCTAAATCTCTTAAATTAACCTTTAAACTAACCCAATTTCTTTTCGTATATATTTAAAAGAAAATAATATTATATAATTAATAATAATAATAATAATGCACAAACAAATAATAATTAACAAATCGACCTTATATAATATTATATAAATATCGACCTTAATGTAAACTGACAATTTATTTTCACTTTTAAATATTTAATTATAAGTGATAACTTTCAAATCGCCATGAGTGAGAGAGGACATTTACAACACTTTACTGTACTTGCATTTACATGTGTAAACATAGTTTTATTTACAATTAATATCAGAATCCGTAAAACATTTGAAATTAAACAGAGATGTATTGCATTTTAAACTTTACTTTAAATACCTTTTATACTCTGATACTTTACAACATCTTCTCATGTCAGAAAAAATTGGCTAATAATATTTCCTTTGGTAAAAAAAAATTATTTTGAGCAGACTGCTGCAGGATTATAAAAGTATTGTACATGGTACAACAGTAAAACACTGTACTCATTTTATGCTAATTACGCTAAAAAGAAATGAAATAAGACAATTAAAATACAAGTTTATAAATATGTGACTTCAAAGTTACATGGCGTTATAAAAGGTTAAAAAAAAGATCTCACATTGGAGAATTCTCTCTGGTATACGGTCATTAAATGATAATTCTTTAGCCAACTTTTATTCCGCTTCTCCTCATCTTTTTATATTCATCACACAGTTTATCACCATCTTTAACGAAGCAATGAAGAAACGTTTAGTCGACGAGCCGACTAACGCCGATTTCGCTATACCCACTTGAGCCGAAAACTCAACTGGGACCAATTCAAAAATATAAATGTAGGCCTCGAGATAAAACGCTAGCCATCCGTTACGGCTTTAGAAGACCACCGGTCGACTCGAGAGACAAGCGACGTGTTTTTGCCTCTCGGACTATGACTCCATCGAGCAAAAAGCGAATTTTCTAGGCAGTCTGAAGACTGTGATCGCTTTGTATTAAACCGTGAAAAGCGCTTCATTTATGCCGCGAAGATTAATGATTCTTGGGATCGGCGTATCGCTCTCCTCGTGAAACGTCAAATTCGCAATAACAAGTGAAGTGGATCGTAGCTGTCGGAGCGAGGTCTAGGTTGAAGCCTAAGTATATGCGTATGCCCCATACTAAAAAGACATATTAAGCTTATCGTATGTCGTTATACATTCTACGATATTCTTACGGATATACGTCGTCCATAAGCGAAGAGGCGTGCCGCGTATTAGAAAGAATTAACGGGCAGAGAGAATACGAAGCATCCAGCGTGTAACATCAACATTTTGTCAGGAATTCGCGCCATCGCGGATATTGGCATTCACGATTGCTCGCGACATTTAATGCGCATGCAATTGTTGGCGCGAGTGCAACGATATTCCTTAAACATAGACGGAAACACGGCACATGCAAACGAAAAGTTCCCGCGCTGCGTCGTCCACCTGTGCAACAGGCACTGTTAGAACTTTCGCGTTCGAAAGCATTTGCCGATACGCAGACGTAAAATCGTTGCGCACTGGATGCGAACGGTTAACGGAAAGGAGTGAGAAAGTTGCTCTAATGCTAGTTACGACGATGGTGCGCGGAACTCGAAGGAGCGAGACGAGAACGGAGCAGAGCGTGTAAGAAAATGGAGAAGGAACTACGGAGGGAGCGACGGGGCGAGAGTAATCGAACAGTAGTAGTAGTGATGGCTATGGCGATCCGACAGAATTAATCCTTTGTTGCACAAATTTTTTTTAACATATTTTGCTAATCCTTAGTTTTACTTATTAATCATATATGAAAGTTTTTAGGATCGTTGATTACAAATTTCAAGTCAAAATTTCAAAATTTAAAAATAGCAAATCCAATAATATAATAACTAAATTTAAAAAAACAGTAATTATAACTTATATTACTGAAATTTTGTACATAAGGGTTCTTTTAAGCTTTTGATTTCAAATCTGCAATCGAAATTAAAAATTTCAAACTGGGGAATCTAACATTGAGAAAACTTTTTTAATAAAAAAGTCTTATTGTTAGTCTAACCTAGAACCAACGACGAGAACATTGCGAGTTTCTAGTTTCATGACTGTTTTATTTAAAAGATTTTTCAAATTTTTAAATACTTTTTTAGTTCTTTAATTTATTAATTTTTTTTTAATTTTTTATTTTATTAAATCTCTCTGCATATAAGATGAGAAGCATTTCTAAAATTTATTTATTTACTATACGCATATAAAGTTTCATTAAAATTAGAATTTTACTTTGCAAGATTTCCTTGTTATTTTAGTACACAGTACGATTTTAGTAAATTTGAAATCTGCAATAACTTCAAAAATATTTATATGAGATTCAGCCTGTTTATTACTTTTTCCCATTATAAATTTTTTGTAAAAAGATATTAATTTTGCAGCTGATATTTTGTTTACAATTTTTTACGAAATAATTATATATATTTA